TCACTACTTCACAGTCCATGAAAGAGGCAGTAGAATCCAAAATGGATATGGAGAACTAAATAATATAATTAACAAGTTATTCCTAATTAATGTACATAGGCTACACATGGACAGATTCAATCAACTCCAGATCAAAATATTCAGGAAAAAAATTGCATCTGTACTGAACATACACAAACTTTTTTTTTGTCCTTGTTTCCTAAACAATGCAACTCTTTACATAGCATTTACATTAGGTATTATAAATCTAGAGATGGATAAAGTATATGAGAGGATGTGCATAGCAAATACTACACCATTTCATATCAGGGACTTGAGCATCTGCAGATTTCGGTGTCCGTGGGAAGTCCTGGAACCAATCCCCTACAAATACTGAAGGATGACTGTATTTAAAACACGGCAATGCCCCTTCTTAATAACAGAACTGATTTATTTGGGACAGCAATGTGCCCAGCTAAAATACTACATTTCCTGACTTCCCTCCGTCTACATATAGCCATGTGTCTAAGTTCTGACTAAGGAGGTGGTGGAAGTATAATGTGGAACTTCTGGAAAATTTCCTTAAAGAGAAAGAGGTAAACCCTTTCTTTTTCTTCCTTATCCAGAAAAAAATGGAACATTACAGCTCAAGCTTTAGCAACATCTTGTACTATGAAGATAAGGACAAGTGAACAGTGAAAATAAACAATCTTGGGTTTCTAACAACTTTGTAAAGCTACTGCAGTCCTAGACTGCCTACCTATAGGTTTTTTTTTCCCTTGGGAGGAAGAAAACCAAAAACACCTGTGTATTTATGCTATTATAGTTAGGTCTCATTTATATGTACTTGCATCTGATCCTAATAGATATAATCTTGAAAGCAAATACCCAAAGAACATTCACCAAAACTGACCATATATTTTAGGACATACACATACACAAACCAAATTCAAGAAAACAGATGGAGAAATTAGCCTAAAGCAGGAGAAAGGCCATCTCTTCCTCTGAGACTAGGAGACCAGGTGCATATACAGGTATGTTTATAGATGTTGGGCAGAAAGTCAAGGGCTTTACTTTCTTTATGACTTCAGTTCTCT